GTCAGGGTTGCCCTATGTCATTGTTCCTCTTTAACTTTGCGATTGAAGACATCCTGTCGAGAGCACCGGAAAGTTACAAATATTCCGGTCTGCGGGTACTACCAAGCAAGCGAGCGACGGAGTTAGATTATGCTGGTGACATCGCCTTATTTAGTGAGGATTCGCAGAGTACGCAAACCATTATGGACCGTTTGGTAGGGTGTTTCGCACCGTTGAAGTGTAAATTGATGCTCTAGGATAATAAGTAGAATTGCTCGTGTGTGATGGTAACAACGTATCTGTCAGATTTCATGTCTTAGGAAATGCGAGTATTTCCTTCAACAAGCTGGTTTTGATGCGTTAGCTAACATGCCTTGGCCAGTTCTTGCGTATGTCAGCTGAGCGTGTTTGTTACCTCCAGCCAAAAGGTCATGATAATGATGTCAACTAAGCATTTGTCTAATGGTGCCCCACTCGTTTGTGCAGGACTTGGATGGAAGTGACCACGCAGCTGCACGCGTGAAGCTGGTAGTAGACTTCGCCCTGCAAGGTCAACCTCGTCCGACCAGAGGCGTCATAATCTCGTGACCTTTCATGCGCCGGAGCCCAGTGATCCAGCATTCCAAGTGCGCTACGATCACGATGTCGAGTTTTACGGAGTCTAATTGACAGAACCCTCGACGCTGATGAGGACTCGGTAAAAGTGAGGTAAATTACCCCTCTTGGAAAGCAAGGTGATCAACAAAATCGGCCTATGAGAATCACTTTTGTGGACGAAGCCGGTCCAAGACTGATCATACCCTGCCTAAGTAGGCTGAAAGGTTTGAAGATCCATGTTCGTCCACACCTGGACCCAGTAGACAGGGAGCGGCTCAAGTCTGCCATCATTGAGCTGAAAAGACGTACTGGTGAGGGGGAAACATATCATCGTATCGTAAATTTTCGGGTGGTTTCCAACAATCTGCGAATCAGGAAAAACCGGCTGCTCACACTTCAAGCACGTCCAGCAGTTCCTGCTGCGGCCTGCGAGTAGCCTTCAAAAAAGTTTGCAGTGTTATGAACAAGCGCGATGAGCTTTGTTGTTTCGTTGAATCTGAGGGGCTAGAGGTAATGAGACTCGGAGAGACATGGCTGCATTCAGTTATACACCCAAGAACTTGAACTGGTGCTTTCGATGCGGTAGACTAAAGAATGCCCATGGTGGTGTCTTACTTTACATCCGGTCTTCCGGCGTGGGAGACTTGCGAGCATCTACCGAAGTGACGATGGTTTGTGTGAGCTACTGTGATGCTCCATCCGCCTCAGGCGCGGAGAACTGCTTGTGGGCGCAGTTTATCGTAGCCCCCTGAGTCGTCCACACTTTCCACCTATTGGTGATTTTAACTGTCCTCGAATACGATGGCCTGATGTGCATTTGATGCCTGGACATAGTGAGGTTGAAGAAAAGTTCGTGGATTTAGTACGTGAAACTGGTGCATCGCAACACATATGCCAGCCAACACACATAGCAACACACTCAATCCCGTCCTATCTCGACCTGACGTTAACGAGTTACGAACAACGAGTACGTGACGTTAGGATCCTGGAGCCCTTGGCTACAAGCGACCATTCAGTGCTCATAGATGATATTGAATTATCTTTGCCGTACTCACGTTAGCTGGAATCAGCTCACAACTACTAGAAAACGGACTTCTAGGATCTAGCTCGAGCCGCGAGCCAACTGGATTTGTCTGTCACAATCTGCCTCTGTGGAAGACTGTTGGATATTTATAAAAGTGAGACTGACATCATCGTGATCCCAAGTTGTGCCACTGAAGTGTCGAAGGTTGGACCGATTAAGCCTCATTGGTTTGACAAAGGGTATGGAAATGTGGCTCGGAGGCGGCGCGGACTGTGGGACCAATTCCTCCTCCCTGGCTCTGCCAATGATTACGAAGGGTCTAAAAGTCAGCGGAACCTCTACAACAGTGCAAAAAGGAATAAGCTCCGACATTCTGAAGAGTAGCTTGCAATAGCCGCGAAGACCGCCCCAAAGAGAATCTTTGCTTACGTGAAGCGACGCCTGAAGCCGACAGGTAATGTGCCAGTGCTGGATGGCACTATTCCGAAAGGCGGCGACCCTAGAAAAGTAGACAACTACATGCCAATTTGTCTGATATCAATTTTGGCAAAGATTGCTGAGAAAATCGTGAAGGGATTGCTGCAGTTGCTACATTCAAACGTGGTCCAGACGCCCGCACAGCACGGTTTTATGCAAGGCCGCTCATGCATTATGAACCTGCTTGTGACGAGGCATGACTGGTTGAAAGCAATAAGCAAGTGGAAGTCTGTCGACGTGATATTCGTCGATTTCAGTAAAGCGTTCGACAACGTCAGCCATAAGGTTCCCCTTCACAAACTCAGGATGTGTGGTGTCGGTGGCTCACTGCACCGGTGGATCCGCGACTTTTCTGTTGGACGAATGTGGAGGGTACAGATCGACGACCATCTAAATGACTGGTATCCCTCTACAAGTGGCGTGACTCAAGGCAATGTCCTGTGGCCCACTCTGTTCCTGATCCACATCAACGATCTACCTCAGCTTTTCCGGTCGCCGTGTGCCTTGTTTGCAGACGACATGAAGATTTGGAGAAATTGACACTCCCGACAATCGTACTTCAGCAAGACTTCAACCGCCTATGCACATGGTCTGCATCAGTTCATCTCCCGGTCAACCCAGCCAAGTCTGTATGTATGAGCCTGGGATAGGGTGCTGACGGCCGAACCTACACCCTTGACGGCCAACCGCTATATCCCACACCCTCCGTGAAGGATCTAGGCGTACTCTCGCTTTACGATTTGAAGTCCGTGGATAACACGAGATGGCTATTTCGTAATGGACTGCGCATGCTGTGGGCGCTCAAACGTAGCTTCGGCATGGTCTGAAGAGGTTGCCACTCGCCTCTTCTCTTCCATCATTAGACCAATGCTAGAGTACGGTTCGTCCGCCTACTTCCCGGCTATCCGAGGTGGGGCACAAAAGATCGAACGCGTCCAACACCAGGCTCATCTCGAGTTTACGTGGCTTCGGGTATGAAAACCGCTGCGAGAAACTGGGAGTCTACACCTTGTCCTACCGTCGGGTGCGAGTCGACCTCATTATGATCTACCGTATTCTACATCTCGGTGACTTCCATGCTGAGGCTAATGCTGCACTTAGAAGGGCCATGCAGCACACGCAGACACAGATACAAACTTGTCGTGCCGGATGTTCCCCACCCACTGTGCTTCGAACGGAGAGTGGTATTTGGAACAGTTTACCTGAACATGTGATGAAAGCAACATCTGTGCAGCAGTTCAAAACGTCGTTAGATATATATTTTACCACTATTCGACTCAGAGAACAATGGCACACTTACGATGACGTCACATTTGTGAGTCCTGCAATACCGGGAGTCAGATATTTTAAATGTTACATGAGAACGACAACGATGTTCACGGCTGACAACTTTATGAGGTTTTTCACCATATTTAAAAAGAGTTGTACAATATTCATTTCTACTTGCTTTAGTGTTTAGTATATTAAATCATTGACTTATGTCTTGCAGTCGTTAAACCCACACGCATCTGGGTAGTGACAAAAAGTGTCGATGGCTAGAAAAGAATCAGGGTATGGCGCCCAAACAAAACCAGTGGGAAATTTGTACATGATTGTTTAGACTCAGAAGCTTAATGCCAATGAAGAAGAGAACGGCATGTAAAGAACAAAAGTGCTTGTCTCGCAGCACAATAGCCGAAGTGAGTTTCACACGTTCAGACGTGCAATGATAATGTGGACACTCGACCCATCATCTTCCGTTGATTTACGTGATTCTGATTGAATCTATGTCCACTCGTTAGACTGTTTCATATATATACATGGCACGACGGATGCTGGGTGTAAAAAAGGGCATAGCAGTACACCGGTATGCAGTATCAACATTTTGCTGCCACGCAAATACCATTGCGAGTGCCGCCCGGTCACCTACGCAAGTTCGGACCCGTGATCACCAGGTTGTTGATTACGAGAAAGCAGGATGTACGTGGGCTGTCCGCAAGGCAATGGGGCATGGAAGCGATTTGGCTTTAAATAAATGAACACCGTCCCACTTCAGACATTTAATCAGGGGTACTAGGAGACTGAGTTCATTTGACCATTGAACCTTTCGGTAAAATTGGCTCACAAGAAGAGAGACGAAATCCACCACAGATCAATGGGTTTAAGGGATATACTAACCTTCGCACTACGTTGAGCGGCTGTCTTGTTAGTGGTATATCGTAAACAAAAATAAACAGCAACAGATGTCACACGTACCTAGTTGAATAGTATCACTGGTTTTGGACAGCAAAGCTAGGATTAACTGAGTCGTCAATGAGGTTTATGATGTAGACCCCTCTTAGAGCATATTATCGTACTCTACCGGCTTATGGCAGTAGTTGAAAAGTCAATAAGAGGGAGATTTCATCCGTTATCGCGTCACGGTAAAGGCGATATTAACAAGTGATCTGGGTCCCATACTAGTAATATTTACGAGACAAAAGCACTAAATAGTGGCTAAGCACTGTTGAGACATGTGTATACCTCAAATGTGCTCCCCTACCAAGGAGTTGGTAGCCAAGCTCCCAGATAGAACTCGACGACTTGCTTAGGTTGAATACCCTACATAATAAAACAATGTTGAAGGCAATGCGCCTTATCAGAAACTGCCAGTGCTGAAGCAGTTACGTTGAGTAAAAACAGTGGGAAATAGCTGGAAAGTACGAATTCGCAGTCTTTAAACAAAAGTTACAGTTAGGGATATTCTGGTGAAGTTGTCGCTTAAGCGTACAAAACCGATACCTATAAGAAGCGACTGTTACTGACAAAAAGCGGGGACGAGCGGCGTTATTAATAGACCCAAAGAAATCGCGTAAGAGTGATTGACTCACACGTGGGAAACGGGATACCTCGCATTGCACAGACGATTGAACATGAACAACGCAACGACCTGGTTAAATACCTCAGAATTTTTGGCAGTTAAATACCATGCAGGCACTATGGCGCTCATCGCCTTTAACGACGAAGGGAATCATGGAGCAAATGGAAGAAGTCCCGCACAGGTTTTACGAAGTATTATGTGCTTGTGAAGACCGGTAGTTAAAGGCCAATAGCGCGCAAAAATATTGCTATGTTCAAAGCCTAACGCTTTGAAGGCAAAAAATCGAACCACGCCATCCGCGAACGAACAATTTCAGCAAATTTAACAACAGAAGTTATTTTACAAAGGCAATAAGCAGAGGGTTACTCTGCAAACGAAGTGGTGGGTAAAGCATGCAAGACAATCAACCTAGAAAGGACTTAGATACATTTCATTCGAACAAATCCCGGGGTATAAACTCTGTATCGCAGGGTTTGGTATCAGAAGATCAATTTACTCGTGAATGTAACACGCTGACCAATATCGAAAGTAACGCGGTGTCGATGAGTACAAGTGGAGCAGAAATGCGGCTTTGCATTGGTCTTTCACTGGGGTGATGCGATCACATGGCATATTTCCGGGTCCACTCTCGCGCAGTTTCCTCGTACTCACTACGATTAGTTTTGTATTGACGCGCAATATCCGGGCATAGTGGATCTTCAGGGTTCGGATCCGTCAGAAGTGAGCAAATAGAAAGCAGAACTGGGGCATATGAATAACACAGAACGGTACCTTTCGAGATTGTCAGGGCTGGAGACCACTGGCCTCGCAGGATATCTAGACATATGCTCCCATTCATATTTATATTCGGATGGTAAATTTTTGTGTCAAAGCTCACCTGGTACGATGCGGGGATTAAAGAGAAATTACCTTCGGGGGCTTAAAAGGATAATCTGTAGGAAACACGATTTTCAGAAAGAAAACACCACCCTCATACGCACTCTCCGCCTATACAGGAAGCGAATTAAGTATACTATCTTACTGGTCCCGCAATAGTGGCCTGCCAGACAAATACTAAGAATGCAAGTCAAAGGAAGGAGCGAAACTCACGATCATCCGCGATTGGCCCCGCAGAGCACTGCGCCGGTGGATCTTGACCAAGATCTTGCAACTCCTGATAATGGAAACAGGAGATAGGTCCATGTAAACGAACCAACCTTGTTGATGCGCTTCAGCGCCATTGCGAACGACGCAGAGAATAAAGTGGCCGAAAATACCGGGCCTCGCAAAAGGCACATACAAACAAACTTTAAATTCCGAGTTGTAAAAAACCATAGAAAAAACCTACGTTTAATTACCATAACATTGCAGCTGCAAAAAACTAGATGCGCCATCCGGTTAGTGGTCACTCTCAACAACTGCTTTACTATACTAACAGCGGTGCATTCAATTTTTGCATTCCATCCTTTTAGGTTTCACTTTCAAACAGCAGTTCCTACACAAAATAGACTTCTGTCAAACTTTTTTGTTCCTATTAATTTTAGACCGCCATTTCCAGGCGCATTTTAGTACGTCGGAGTGTAGCATTAACAACTCAAATGTCAAATTCAAGCACAAGTTCAAGTTCAGTTGGGACCGGAACGATAGGATAATCTCGTGAATGTTCCTTATTTTGCATATCGTCTGATCGGGAATTGGCAGGCCTTCTTGAGATGCTGAAAAGCCTAAAACAAAGACCGTATCACACCCTGTCCCACCAAGTACTGCCCACATTCTCCGGCCCAGCAGTCCCTGCGAGGCCGGTTTATGTGAATTAAACGAGTGAAGAGTAAGCTAAGAAAACAAGAGGAGGAATGTCAGCTAAATAATGCTAATACCAAGGTGAGAAGAACATTAAAATAGAACGAAGGGAAAGTTGAAGATACAAGTCGGTTAGGAGAAGGGGAAGGTTTGGTACTGCCACCCAAGAGCATCTAACTGGTGCTCGAAACCCTCTACCGTAGACTCACTAACAATGTGCGATGGAAGTGAGTTCAAACGTTCAGTAACTCGACGCGACAAGCGAGTATCCGTTCTTACCCGGTCAAAACGCTGTTTGTGCAGCTTCAACGGGGGACCTCGGAGACTAGGCAGCTTGGCAGAACTAGATATCCAGGACAAGTCTGGACCGATCTAGATACGTCAAGTGAGGATCAAGTCTTCTCTAATTCTGCGGTAGTGCATTTAGTACATGCCCAATCTAAGCAAACGTTCGGGAGACGTATTCCCCAGTAATCCTTGCAATAACCTTGTACCCATTCGCAAAACCCTCTCCAGTTCCATCTTTTCCCTTATAAGACAAGGTGGACAAGCCTGGTTACAGTACTATAAATGAGGTCGCACAAAAGCTGAGAACAGCTTCACAAAAATATTGGCCATTAGGACACTGAAGGGGCGGCGAGTAAACCACACCATACCGAACCCCCTACGAGCATCCTTCCTCCAAGTGTCCCCAGAGTGAAGCAATTAGGTGTGAGTGATATATAGATCAACCTGCTGAGAGACAACAGGTATGTTATTTCCACCAACTACGTAGCGCGTGAGAGAAATGGCACCTCCAATGCGGAGGACAGAACATTTCGCCTTATTTATGGGCATCAACCATAAGGTTGACCAATCCCAGAGCCTATCCAAAGCACTCTGAAGTGCCTCAGGGCCACCAGGGATATCTACAATATTCCGGAGCTTGAGGTCATCAGTAAACAATAGCGACGATACTCCAAGCTCCTGGGGTAGGTCATTGACAAATTGCGAAAAGCACCGGCCCTAGAACCGAGCCCTGCGGAACGCCACTAAGAACAGCTCGTCTAGGCGAAAGGCTACGCCCCACGCGTACACACTGTTCTCTGCCCTCTAGGAAAGCAGAAACCCATTTAAGGGCGGCTCCAGATATCCCATAAGACCTTAACTTCAGTGAGAGTCGTTGATGTGGGACAGTATCAAAGGCTTTCGAGAAGTCAACGAAAGCAGGTCGATGGTGTGACCGTTGTCTACTGCCTCAGCCCAGCTTCCACGAGCTACAAGTAAATTTGTCAGACATGAAAATCCCTTACGGAATCCGTGCTGGCCCGCGCTGTGAAGGTTAAACTTAATCAGGAGATTCTCCACCGAATCTCTGACCAATTTTTCAAACAGCTTAACCACTACACTTGTTAAGCTGACAGGCCGGTAGTTCGTGGGCAGAACTCTGTCCTCGCCCTTAAAAATCGGACAGCTGATTGCCTCCTTCCATTCCGAAGGTAAGACGCAGCTGTCGAGTGATATTGTAAACATGCATGTCAGATGACCACATAGCTCAGCGGCCAAATCATTCATCAGCTTCGGATGCATTGAATCAGGACCAGAAGCTTTGGAAGGATTTAGCCCTTGTAGTAGCCAGAAGGCTTGGGTCTCCGTTATGCTGATTTCAGCTAGGCAAGTATTTTCCGGAACTTTTGTGACCAGCTCAACCTGAGGTAGAGATGCCTCATGAAAAAGACACCAGTATACCGTTCGCTAAGTACACAGGCGTTATCCTAGTCGGTATGCCCATGGGTCCCGTGCGCTCGTAGTAATACCGGTATAGTCGAGTTTGTACCGCTACGTCTCTTAACGTAAGCAAAGAACTTTTGGATTTGTTACGGCTGCGTTAGCCAAATCCTCCTCGTACTGTAGACGAAGCGTTCTAAGATGATGCTTACATTTATTTCTATCCGCTCGATAGCTTTCGTACGTACTGGTTGATGAAGCCGCTTGGTAAGTTTGCCAGCACTTAGAGCGCCTCCTGAGCAGCTATTTACCTGTATGATCTATCCATGGAGGCTGCGCCCCTGGCACCTTTCACAATGCGAGTGGGAGGTGGCGAGCAGAGATCTCGGTGAGGTATGCCTTAAATTTATCCCAGGTTGTCTCAACGGTGTCAACCATGGTGATCGCACAACGCAAAACTGAAGCTTTGTCGCGCATTGCGTTAAAGTCTGCCCGCCAAATATTTGGACATGCGTCAGTGCTAGCTTGATGACACTTAGTTAGAGCACATCGAAAGGATATGCAGACATAGTCACTGGCTCCTAGAGGACAGTCGTAGGTAATTTCGCTTACAAAATCGTGTGACCTCGCAAAAATGAAATCCAAGGTAGACGGAATTTAGTTGCGCATATATCTAGTCGGGGGTCCACGAACTGATGCAAAGGCAGTTGCAATAGCTCAAGAAGACCCGAACCGAAAGGGTCCACCGCCGAACTGAAAGATATATCAGTCCAACAGACTTCAGAGAGGTTGAAGTCATCATCATCAACAACAACAACAGCAGTACATCAGCCATTTGAACAGATGCTTCGCTGCCATGAGGACCTATGAACTAAAGAATAGGAAGAGGGGGAGCAGGAGGACTTACCTGAAAACCTTAATGCCTAAGCAGACATTCAGGGTCAAGGCGCCTACACCTTGTGTAGACAACATACCGTCACAAACAGCTGGCTATCGTGTAAAAATAAGGGGGCATCGGCGAGACAGCTTCCTTGCGGCTTTCACTGTCACGCGTCGTAATCAGCCATTACCCCGCAGATAACTCAGCACCAAACACATTTTAAACAGACAATCCGATTAGGAGACGGCAGCCGACGCGCCACTGGTGTCGCTTGCGAGCCCCGCCCTGTAAAGTCTCGAGCCAAGCACAGCGCGAGTCACGGGGACTCCAGCCCGGAAGGCGAGACGGACCAACGGCACCCAAGGTGGTCGTCAGTGTATATATTTCCAGTTGCCAAGTCAACTTCTGTCCACCTCGAGCCTTGCGCCACCCTAAACCTGGCAGGCTTAGCCACGCCCTCCTAGGGAAGCGGTGACCAGGCATACGTAGCACGTGCCCAAGCCATCGCAACTTATTCAGTGCTATCTGTTGTTCTAGGGAGCTAGCATGATTATCACTACCTAGTACTTGCCTACGCACCTCATCTTCCCGGACACGCTGGTGCCATCCGACTCCAGCAATGCTTCGCAGACAACGATGATCAAAGACTTGAAGGCGCCTCAGATCTTAAAACCGAAGGGACCAAGTCTCACTTCCATAGAGTAGAACGGCCCTCACTGTGGCCTTGTATACACGGCCTTTCAGACGGAGGGAAACTACCTTCTGTCGCCAAAGCTGACGCAGGTTCAAGAAGGCAGTTCTGGCTTTTGCAATGCGTGACATCAGTTTCTATGCGCAAACCATTGCTGACGCAGCTGCCAAGAAAAGTGAAATTATCAACCAACTCAAATTCCTCGTTAGCAAGCGTCAAGGGGTCATCAAGTGGCTGGTGGTCTTGCAGCAACACTTTGCACATTGAAGTTGCGAAGTGTATGCCAAATAATGGGACCACTCCGGACAGGCTATTCAGGGTTGACTGTGCCGCCACAACGTCGTCAAAAAGCAAGACGATGTCGTCCATATAAACAAGACCAGTTAATCGTTCACTAAGTAGCACTTCAACGCCTACGTAAAGCCCAAAAAATCTTTGATGTATCCCCAACCAGGATTGCTTACAGGAGGACACGGCATCTCCTTTCCCTGATTAGCTTGCACATTCACACTGTTTTACTGTGTTTTACAAGTGGTTAACATATCGTATCTCTATTTTTTCACTCCATCACTGACACATCCTTGGCGTTTCAAGGTCATGCTTATCATTGTTATTGTGACACTGCCCAAATACTCGATCTGCCCCATGCTGTACAGGTTCTGCCCACTTACATTACGGGTGCAAAACCTATTCGTAAGTCATGTACTGTATTTAATTTGCCTTATAGAACCACGGTTACAGGATAATTCGTTTTATTCTTCTGCCCATACCGTGCGTTAAGTCTTTGTTTATCTGTTCGTAGTTTCTAGTTTAGTGTTTGTACGACGTACTTAGTTTAGACAGTATCGTTGGTACATAGGTCGAATAGAGCAAGCATGTCCGCTTCTGGTGATTCATTTGATGATGTTAACGTTACTGATGCTGGGAAACTTCGAAAAGCTGAATCCCGTATTCGCCTGTTGGAGTCGGCTTTAACGAGCATACGCATGTTGCAGGCGAATACCGTTGATGTTAAGGACTACTGCGAAACTGAATTTGAGTCGGATGCGCTTGTTAATGAACGATCGCGATTTATTCCGGCGGACGATTGTGTGCTTCCTCCCGAAGTTGCCATCTGCTCGTCATTTGTGAAACCTGTTAATAGGGGTCCTCACTTCCCGTCCGTAGCTCAGTTAGTTGGTCCTTTGGCATCCCTTGGTACCCGCGTTCGATCCCAGTCGGTGGCGTTTTGCTCCGGCCTTCAAGCTGACGGTAACCTGTGTCCGGGACGCAAATCCAGCG